GTAAACAATAACGTCAGTTGCCGGCAAGAGCCATGCACCACCAGGCATTGGAGAGCGCCGAGGTAGAGCTACATTCGAGACCTCTGAGCTTACGACACGATCTATGTACCTATACCCGTGTGATGGGTCTACTCCACCCACCAGCCGTCGCCGTCTCCACACCTCCGGGATCATGTCTACCCGCTCAGCCAATCGCAGCGACATGCTGGCCTCATGGAAGCAGCAAACAGCCAGTCCATGAACCGTCGGTCAGCTACTCCCAGCTCAGCTATTTCATCTTCCAGCAGTAGGTCTCAGAAGCTGTGAATTTCAAAAATTATGCATGCTGTGCGCACATGTAGCACCACCATTGTCCAATTGACACATGGCCATTTCGCTGATCGGTGAGTGAAAGCCGCACACTCCGAAGCCGTAGCTGGAGTCGGGAGGCTGGGAGACCGACAGCTCACACCTACATGAATGAGTGCGTAGTTATAGCTCGATAAATGCCGTGTTATTACCCCTCTCGTCCCACGAAATCAGGTATTCAAAATTCTTGAAAGCCGGGTCAACCTGGTCGGACTGGTCGGACTCGATCGAAAACTCCTTCGATCGACGTGCCGATAGGCCTGGGGTTTTTCGGGTTCCCAGCCTTTCTTTATGCGATTTCCGATATCTCGATCTTCCTTTGCAGACTACGGACGAGAAGCCACGAATCTCGTATTTTTTTTTATGCAGAATTTCCTTTTCTCTGCCCCTCTTACCTGGGACGCATTTACCTACCTCGTTAATGACGATGACGTACACAGTCCAGCTGTGCAATTGTCCACGCAAAACCCTTTTCGTTTTTAATAAGCCATGCCACAAATCCTACATCAATGTCCCAATCACCCCTCCTCCCTGATCGGCTGACCCGAATGGTCTCACACACCTCAAACATACGAAGTCCCCAGTCACCCATCTCATGCACGCCAGCCGAACAGGGATCCCGCCTGACCACACCACACCAATTCATGGAGGTGAGGCACCGCTAAGCCGGAACGAACATAGATATAAATATTCACGATTGATATTGAGCTATGTAAAAAAAGCCACTAGTGACGAATAATGCAAACTACCAGCTCGAGCACCACGGGCGCAATCCAGTGCCGGTGGTGCAGGATCAATGAGAGAAGGTGCATTGAAATCAAGATAGGCCGGCCATCCTGGGCTAATCCCCCTTTCTCCAATGCACATGCAAAATCCAAGGTCCCAAATGAATCAACGCCGCCGTGTATGTGTGTGTACCATGCAAGAAGAGCCGAAACGCCATCCAATGCAATGAAAGGGGAATTGTGAAGAAATCGAAAAAATGATGAACCAAATATGCAGAAAACCGGAAATGAAAAAGGGGGGGAATTATAGCCTCCAAATAGAAGCCAAATGCAAGAACAAAAAATTCTAGTTGGTGTTGGGGAGCAAAAATCGCACCCTCTTCTTCGGCTTTGCAGCCTGTGTCTCTAATTCGTCTCCATTGTGTATGCTGTTCTCATTCTTAAGCTCCTCCTCCGTCTCCTCCTCGATAGACCAGACGTCTGGGCTCGGCTCGCGCCAAACACGCGCATTCCTCGACCGGGCGGCGGACAGGCTGCGCGAGCGGACGGGCCTGTTGTGACTCCGGCCCCGAATGGCGGGGAACGACGCTGGCGACAGGAGACCGTTGGCGCTCCGATTAAAGAGTGGGCTTTGGGGTCTCTGGCCCAGCCCGTCGACGTAGAGATCGCGCAGGGGCGTAAGCCTTGGGCTGCTGGGCGAGAAGTGGATATATTCCTCATCCTCTTCTTCATCGCCCGAAGTGGCATCGGAATCGAAACAGGGCGAAGACGACCTGTTGCTTCCTGGGCTTCTGAACCCGCCATCCAGGGAGGAGGGGCTTACACTGCGGACGATCTCCCGCGGTTGACTGGGGTCCTCGATGCCGGCATCAAAGGTCAGCCCGTCCAGTTCCATGTCTTGTTCATCGTCTTCAAACCCGGGTGTCGGTGTCAGGAAGTAAGTCAGGGGATCGTCATCGATGTCATCAAGCAAAGGACGGTCCTCCTGTTGCCTCCTCGTTTTGCCAGATTTGGGAACCTCGACCCTGACCTGGGTTGGGGGGAAGGAATCCCTGCGGGATCGCATCTCCGCATCAGTTGGGATGCTTAGTGGGAAAGGCATCTTGCGTATATATAGTATTATGATGGGGTACTGCTTTGCTCTGTCTACAGCCCGATGGTATGTGTTTTGGGCAGTGTTAGGTAGATATGGGGATGGAAAACGCCGGCAGCACCGGCGCAGGAGAAGAAAGGGCCAGAGCAAATAGCAGGAGATATATATCTTGTGTAGTAGACAAATCTAAAGAGAGAGAGGAAGAATCAAAGGTGTGAAACATCTGCCAGCCTCGAGGAAGTCGCGAATATATATGTAAAGGTGCGGCACGGCTGGAGATCACAAAAGAGTGGGAACATGTGGTCTAGGCTACCTCTCTGGAGGGCGTAGAGCAAGGATTCAAAGACTCATCGCCGCCACAATATGCAAGGCTGCGCAACTATTGACGAAAAAGACGGGCTATGTTCCAGTCACGCTCTGAGAAAGCGATGCCTGGTCAGTCAGAGAAGAAGAGGGTGTGCGGTCATCGTACTTGGAGCGGGGCACGAGGTCCACGTGAAGGGTGCCTGGGGGAGTGGGAGGATGCACACTTCGTAACCTCCAAGTCGCATTTGGACGGGAAAAGTGTCTCATCTGGGCATGAGTTCAGCGATCAAGAAACGAGTGTGTGACTGATCCGGCAACTGGGGAAGCCGCAGAGGGGACGCCGCGAGCTGAAGACCAGTCTGGGGGCTCCGCCAGCCACGGAGCGTCGTGAACGGCTGGTTGGCGATGGCATGCAGCTCCGTAAGCTGAGACATGGAACCCACCATCAGGCTCAGCATCTGACTCTCAGCGAAACCAAGGCTGGGAATGACTTGAATATCGACGCGGCCCGAGTGGGTATTCTGGTCATGCCGTGCGGCTTTTGGAGAAATGCCTTCCTGCATGATGCAATTCTAGGATCGAAGAAATCATGGTCGGATCGGGAAATTGAATAGAGTTGCTGAACCTGCATTTCCGGTTCATGACCTGCGATGCACGGTTCCTGGCCAGCAGCCTCGTCTCCCGCCGTATCCTTCTCGGCTGCAAGTCATGAAGTTGTCGATCAGTGCAAGGTGGAGACGTCGTTCGGGCTTGGTGATCATCAGATCCCTCTCCCTAGAACCACTTGATATCACTGGAATGGAGGGGCGAGGGGGGTAAGAAGCACGGTTAGCTAGCGGGCGTCTCACCCATCAGCCCGTCACATTCACAATCACAATCACAGATAAATAATCTCAGCGAGTCCACCCTTTCTAGAGCATTCCCGAGGAATGGGTCATGTCTGTCAGCACTCGATCAATATTTCACGGCAAGTCCGCTTCAGCTCAAGGTTTGAGAGGCGGGCTGAAAGCTGAAGATAAGGATGGATGGCTTCTGGAAGCAGAAATTGATTGACAATGGCCGTCAAAGTGTGGTACATGTCGCAACTTGAATTGAATTAACGAGACCGCGAGCTTATCGGTGGCCAAGCATGTATCAGCAGACTAATAATCAGTAGCCTCTAACAAGCGCAGTGATCACAATGCATTTACTCCGTACTACCTACCAGCATAGGCAGCTGGGTGACCCAGACGAAATGGGGCATCAAATTGAACAGTAGCCTTATGCAGAGCATTCTTGGGATAAGTAAAGCAACACTGTAATGAACAAAACATACAACGACAGGTGATAGGATATTGTCTCTTGAACATAATTATTTTTCAGCCCTCAATAAGACAACAAGGGTGGCCATAGACTCCAAATACTGCATAAGGCTATTTTGAATGTGTCTGTTTCAATGTCACGACGTTCTAGGGTAGGTAGGTATATGTAAAGAGGGATGACGTCGTTGACCACCTTAAGGTAAAATCGCAAGATCCCACCTTACTTGGCTTGGTGGACGGACCTTACGGAACTCACCCCAAAGTTGACTAACAGCTTATATAATCGCATGTGAGGGCCAGATTCCGGTGAGTTTCGTAGAGGGGAGCTTAGGACGGGTTTAAACCTAGCCCGTTGTCTAGGGTGGCAGCTTACCGTCGCCGGAAAGCGAAGCTGGTACATCAGAATGCCAAAGGACAAGAAGACTGAGGGGAATGTCCCATGTTGCGCTTGGTTCTTGATAAGACGCTTGGCATGCGGAGGACCCGTTGTAGCGAACGGTCAAGCTTGATCCCCCGCTCCGACCCTGGACGCATGCCGGCCCCAGCGGTAGGTTGTAAATACTCGCAGCCTGGATGGAGGCACATACGTAAGTGTCAGGCCTTCGGCAGAGCTAGTCAACGAATCTATGGTTCTTTGGCGTCAATTCATGCTTCATCGCCACGTTTCGGATCCAACGGACTTTAAGCCAGCCCGCCAGCCCGTCATCATCATGCCAGTCTTCGCTTTCACCACTTCCCACGACGATGAGTCGTCGACCAGCAACGGGCCTCACGCTACCTGACCGAACCTCCCAGTTAGCAACGCTTTCCCGTTACGTTAGCTAGCTAGCTCAAGCCCAAAAGAGGCACTCTGGATCCCCATGACCAGCCGATGAGACGGCCAAGACCCGTGCAGATCGGTTGGTTCTCGTTGGTTTGGCTAGGACGATGTTGCAGCGCCAGCAACCTTGTCCCTGTGCATCCGTGCCCTCCGCGACTCCCGCGACCCGTTGATAGCAGCATGTCCGAGAGGTTCTTTTTAGTCCCTCTGCCCGCTCATCCTGCGCCTCAGCGAGGTACGCGGCTGCAAGCCCTTCCCTAGGCTGCGATATTATCTCCGGACCTCATATCCCTCTTTTTCATATAAGAAAGAGCCCGCCCGTGGTCCAGCCGCGACCGCCGGCGAGAGTGGTTGCTTACGATTCCTCCATCTCACAGATCTTCGCCAGGCGAATAAGCTTTTCCGCCATGGCCGAGACCGGCTTCAACCCCAGGGCATTCCTGATGCGCCCAACCAAACCCCTCATCTTCCTCGTTGCCTCCGCGGCCATACTGGGATTGACCGTCTCATGGCTGGCCATCCAATACCCTGGCTTCATCTTCTATCCCGCGCCAGCGCCGATTAATTGTCCGCTGGAATTTGACAACGATACTACGGCTGTGCCGCCTACGCATGTAGGAATGGATTACAACGAAACGCTACCTCTACGCCTCATCACCTACAACATCAGATATGCGTCCAAGCACCCCGTCGCGAATGAGAAGCCATGGGAGATCCGCTGCCCCAAGCTCGTCACCCAATTGAAATTCATCACAGAGGGCCACGACAGCCCCTTCATCTGCCTCCAGGAGGTCCTCGACTCCCAGGTCCACGACGTCCAGCGAGGCCTGGGCGCGGGCTGGGGTCACATCGGCCGCGGTCGCGAAAAGGGCGAGACGGACGGCGAGTTCTCCCCCATCTTCTACCGCTCGAGCACCTGGCGCCTGACCCGGTACGAGACCCGCTGGCTGAGCAAGACGCCCGACCGCCCTTCCAGGGGCTGGGACGCCTACTACAACCGCATCGTCACCATGGGCGAGTTCGCCCACCGCACGACCAACACCACCGTCATCGTGATGAGCACCCACTTTGACCACATGGGCGCCATCGCGAGGGAGCACAGCGCCGACCTCCTCATCAAGTTCGCCAAGGAATGGAGCGCCGCCAGCGAGGCCGACGTCTCCGCCGTCCTCATCGGCGGCGACTTCAACAGCGCCCCGGACGACGACTCCTACCGAAGGATGACGGCCCCTGGCTCAGGCATGTCCGACATCGCGGACCTCGTCCCCGATTCTCGCAAGTACGGGAACAGGTTGACGTACACCTCCTTTGGTGAGCCGGAGTACGGCTCTGCGCGGATTGATTTCCTGTTCATCAAGGAGCCTCGCACGGCCCTGGTCAAGAGTTACGGCGTTTTGGCGAACCAGTTTGAGGACGGGGTTCTGATCTCAGATCACAGGCCAGTCGTTGCAGACTTGGAGGTTCTGCCCTAGGCTCACCTGGCTCATGTTCTAGGTCGGTCATGAATTGGGATGAATGGTTATGACTAGTGGGTTTTATCTAGATCCACGGGGAAGGACGACATGTTTGTAAATATATACCCGGATTTTTTGCGTTTATAAATATCGAACGAAAGCATACATAGCATAGGGAAGCATACCGAATCGATGCAAGCATTGGCTGCCTTTCTTCAACCTGTCCGAGATCGCCGTTTGGTAGCCCACCGTTCACCGTCAGCAGACCGTTCGCTAGTGCGTACTACTCACTAGCCTCATCTTCCAAAACCCTGCCATCCATGGATGTTGAGGAACTTGTTGACTACGATCTTCAAAGGGAGAGGTTGGGGTAGTAGTCTAGATGCAAGACTAGAGCGGATGCTTACCCACCCTGGCAGTCAGTCCTACAGATCAGATAGCAGACAGACGATCTGCCTGGATCGAAATGACAGCCCCGATGCAGCACTGTCTATGACTGTGTTATGAAATAAACATATCTTTCCATTATGATATGTGCCTTAACACCCAGAGATGGCGTCAACATGCGCTCTGGTGGCATCGTCGGCGTCGACGACGGCAGCTGGATATCCTGCCAAAAGGCGGTGTGTGACGAAAATGATCGCAGCGATCATTGTCAGCTTGCCGAACTCGAGTCTTGCATAGGCAGAGGCCTAGTATGGCTATCTCTTGCTCGCTTCCCCCACAACCGCTGCTACGACGGTTCGAGAAAGGAGAAAACGCTAGAATTCTCTGGAATCAATGCCCGCGCTCGCCGCGGCAGACTCTCCTCCAAGCCCAGCGCCATCTCTCATATGCAGGTATATGAGATGGCTTGCATCGTTTGAAGCACCTGACTAGGTCTCCCCGGGCACCGGGTGCGTCAAAAGTCAATGATGGGGGATCTGCTAGCGAGGCATTTCGCCTATGCTCATCGCAGAACGCGAGTCCCCTCGATGGTGCGCAAATATATAGATCCAGCCACTCGTCAGGCACACCATATGCAACCGAAGACAGAGCTGGCTTCACCCGCAGCTGGATATCGGTTTTCCCCGTCATGCACTCGGTAAGAAGCCCAAGACCGACGTCAAGAGACATATGTACATAGATAGGGATACGTGTCGTGGCGTATTGGGACGTCGAGCAGTCAATGAACCGTCCCAAGTGACATGAGCAGGCACATACATACTGCTGGACGTCACCAATGTCTTCCTGCTTTTTGCTGTTCTCAATACCATGTTTATCAGCGATGTGTATCGGCGACGGTTATCAGAAGCAAGATGCATGATATTGGATCCTTCAGGCAAAGATCAGCTCTACCAGTGCGAGCTGACCACGATCTGACGCGAAGGAAGAAATTCCTCTTTGGGGATGTTTGGCATCCGAGGCCATCCACCCTATCGCAAGTGGTCTGAAAGTCGCTGGTCACGTCAGAAGCATGCACGAGGAGATGCAACTGGAGGCTGTGACACCCTTATTAAGCATATTTTGGCCAACGAGATGGGTCATCCTGACCGAAATCGACCAATTGATCGTATCAAGTCGTACATAGCTGACGAATTACTTGATGCCATCTGCTTCCGCTTGGAGGCGTGGCGGACGTGTCTTGGGCAGAGGACAGGACCATGGATGGGTGGGCGTGCCATGCTTTTCAGCGATTGGATAAAACAGAGCTCCAGGTGGAACATACATCATGTTGAAGCTGCCGACCGTCCATGGTCACGAGTCGATATGAGGGCAAAAGGGCCGTGTTTGTGGCAACTTTCGTGACATTTGCCAATTGGATAGATGGAATGGACGTGCCGGACGGAGGTGGTGGTAGGGAAAGAACAAACTGCCTCCGGAGATGTCCTGGAGACCGGGGCGGGAAACGGCGCATGGGGCCATCACGGAGACGTGTAGTTCCAAGTCCTTCGGGCACCCTCGCCAAGGATAGGTGATGCCCATACGCCTGGAGGAGGGGTGCGAATGGGGAAAGTAGTTCGAGAATCCTCAATGTATCACAAGTGGACGACCGTGATGCCATGGCGCCTTAGCCTTCGAGGATGGAAGTCTGGTGGGCGGAGATATGTATGACTCGGGGGGTGAACATGCAGGTCTGGGGCCCTCACTAGAGGGTCATTGGAAAGGTGCATGACGAAGCGCCATCTGATTGGTCTCAGTCGCGTGTTGAGATGAGTTGGCTGTCACAATTTACCTTCCTTCCCGTCTCTCACGACCAACCAATCGAGCCCTACAGCCTGCATGACTGCATCACCGTATACGTAGATGGATAGGGGCAGGATTGTGAGCCCAGGCCATTCCCTCGAAACATTGGCGTATTCATTCTCGCTGGAGTATCTGATCCAGAAAAAAGGGTAGCATTTGCCACAGCCTCTAGAAAATCTGCTCGTTGGTCGTGGGCGTGGCGGCGATAGCAGTAGTTGCTACCCAAGATACCTGACCACATCCACCACACCAAGAGGGATAGGCGAGAGCACACAATCAAGACATCGGGCAGGTATTGTAGAGGAAGAGGACCCCGAATATCTTGTGAGCAGCCAGCCATGAGTGGCAAGAGATTTTCTCGCTCGGGATGTCAGTTCCCCCCACTTCCACGATCGACCCCCCTGCCTTCAATTAGTGGAGAAGAATTAATCTTGGGCCCTTGGTTAGGAAAACTGGTGGCCTTTTCTTCTTTGATCTTCTGGGGGATTTCGTCCAACGATAGAGTGAGGCGGTCCCTAGCCCATCTAGACTACGGCTTTGGCGATCCCGCTGGACCTGCCACCCTCATCACACTCAGCTCGTCTGGACAGGAGGATTGGTACGGCCAACTGGACAGCTGGCATAAAGACAGCTCCTTCGTGGCTACAGTAGCAGAGGCGAGGAACGGAGGGCCGGAGGCCAACCTCTGCAAATGTGTCCGCGCCGGACTCCCCACAATTGGGCTGAAGTGCTTGTTGGCCGGAGGGGTTGATAGGTACGACAGTCCCGACCAGCGACTCGCTCGCTGATGATGCCACTCCCCAGGTCAACCCCTGCGATATGGTTAGCGGCGAACAGGCCTAATCCTGGGACATCGGGCTCGCCTCATTTGTGATATGCTGATGACCAATTCTCGCCATCTCCTACTTTCCCCCTTCTGATGCTATATCTCTCAATTAAGTAGAGATACGTAAAATGGAAATGCCTCTAGTGTCTGCTTCTCTCGCCTGGTACCTGTTTGTGGACGTGCCGGCAGATTCTAGGGGTGCTCTGCTGGACTGATGGCTAGCACATCTTTGTCTGTAGCAGGTGGAGGCGAAGACTGTACCATCAATGCGTGAACAACCAGGGTCGGGAGACGCTGAATTTTCAGTTGCAATTGCTCTGTGAGGCTTAAAACTCCAGATATAAGCTATCTGCCTACCGAATGGCCGATATCATTGAGAATCAGGTGGCCGAAGACCAACACGCGGAGCTGGTGTTATAATACAAGCTGCGTCCAGACCCTACCAACTGGATGGGGGGTGGCTTTAGACCTAGGGCGCTGATGCTGATGAGACCCATCCTGGATTTGCGGCCAAGTCTTGATATTAGCCATTGAACATGTCAACAAGCGAGTTTCACAAAGGATCTCTCCACCCGTTTGAAGATCTTGCTGGGCGGTTATATTTATCAGTGTACTTGCGGCAGGTGCGGAAATGGAACCTCAAGCAATCAGCCCACTGGAATGGCGGAAAGCTGCTAAGCACAGGCGAGAATTAGGCAAGAGTGAGCTAGTGAGGTCGGGGGCTGCTGCGTGCTACCAAGGCACGGGGTGAGTGAGTGGGAATGTGGAATGAAGGCGTCCATCCTATCCAGAGACAACGGAATCCTATCTGGGAACATCTGCTGAGCGATAGGACACATGGGCCAGCTGGCAATTCCACACATGGCCCAAAGCAGCACTGCGGTCGGGCATACCCAAGGTTGGTGCTCCCAGCGGCAGTCCAGTCTGTCAGTCAGAAACCAGGTCGTGGCACTGACAGCGAGAGGAGCAATCCAGCGGTTCTTGCCAGCTCTGCGTTGTCAATTCACCCCCTCCTGCTTTAAATGGGGCTACAATGCACAGAGAAGGAGCCTGAGCGCTGCGTGCACCCCCTGGCCCCTCCTCTGGTGACCCCCCATTCTCTTCAAGCCTGCCGTTGCCTCTTCGGTACTCCCTCCCTCCGCTCTTCAGCAACGCCCTGGCTTGGGGAGGCAATCAGGTCTCTCAACCTACAGACTGCTCCAATGCAGCAGGCCTTTGATGCAACGCTCGGTACCAGAATTGCATGTTCCTGCCCGCTGTTTTGCGGGTAGTGGATGGCTGCGCATGTCTCGCTTTACCCAGGTTGGTAGTCGCGGTCTGCTCAGTCCCTAATCCATTAGCGCTCCCCCTGCCACTGTGGGCGATTAAAACCGCCTGCTGTGACCCCCCAGCTTCCCTTCAACCTCTCACACCACACCACCGGGCCCACCCACCTACTTGTACCCTCGACTTCCCGTTTTATTAAAACATCCCTCCCCCGGATCTCAAGCATTACGCTCAATCCTCCCCCCCTCACTTCCGTGCACACTCCCAGGCAGGCCTTATCACCAACATCTCACTATCAGCGGTCGCTTGTCCTTCCATTCCTCTCAACAGCACCACATATTTACGACTTAATCGTGACCGTTTTCTCGAATGAACCTTGTGGTTTTTTACTTTGACCAACCGCCACCGCTAAGGGTCGTCCCGTCCACTACCCGCGAGGCCCAAAAAAGGCCGTTTGCCCACCGCCTCCTCCAGACAGGCCGATTTAAGTCACGCAGCCATCGCAACGAAGCCATTGTTTCGACCGCACCATCGCGGCCACCTCTTTGGGGCTGTCGAGTCACTCTCAAACCTCGAAGCTCCCTTCGGAGCGAACATTAATACAATCGAACCAAATCTGACCTTTTGTCGGCACAACCACCACAATGTCTCGATCAAGATCAAGGGTCAATGTCGCCTTCGTGGAGGACTGTGACTACTC